TGCCCAGTAGGATTGGTAGGGTAGTATGCTTGCCATGTCAGGCCTTTTGATGTTTTCACTGTTTGGTCTTTTTCTAAACTGTTTAACATCCTTTAAATAAAGCAATTCTGAGAGTAAAAATAGTAGGGATGACTTTAGAAGAAATTAAGAAACGGATATTTTATTTCGTCATGTCAACTTTATTATTTTCGGGGGGAAAATCATGCATGAAAAATAAACATTTTGATTTTGGGGAATAAAAATTAATAAATAACAGATAATATACTATAAATACAATCATATTTCTATCATTTTAATATATAATGTCATAATGTAAATATCAGCACATCTATATCTTGCTTTTGTAGCTGCACTACCCTGCCAGCTTATTTTTATTTATTTTTTTACTATGCTACAGCGCATGTTACTAACAGGCATTCCACATATCATGAATAAAACGCGTAAACAAACAGGCAACGGTGCAGAGCGATATGGAGAGGAGCCCGAGGCACAGAGCCCCCCTTTACTCCGGCTCCTGGCTGTCCCGGTGCACCAGCTGATCAAAGCCCGAGTAAGGGGTAATATTTCTCACTTTATTACCGGAGTCACAGCGTGTCTGTACAGCCGGCGATCACACACTGCTCTGCCCACACTAACTCAGTTCATGTAGCCTATCGTAGCTATATAGGATGACTACATGCGAAAAAATACACTAAAACACTCACTCTCTTAATATTAAAACAAGTAATTTGCTTTAAGATGACATTTTCAAATTGCATTTACGTTTTTTTCTGTCTGCACTCCAATTTTAAAACGAATTATTGAACGACTTTTAGGAATTAAGCATCTAGCCTATATCAGCACAAACAAACGAAACGAAAAAAAGTCCTAATGTTTTAAAAAATATATATATTAGTCAAATTAACATTATGGATAATTTTAGATGAATTCCAAAAGACTGGATTCTGAAGGCTAGCGCGTTAAAGATACAATTATTACTTTTTTTTTTTTTTTTTTTTTATATTTTTTTTTACCTAACTAAAATAAAAAAAACTGAGAAAAAAAGTGTGAAGTTAATGTTATTACATATTTTAATATAGTGCAGCTAACAAATATGTCTCACATTTTCTACCTTAATTTACTTTTTATACTGCTGCTTTTGTGCAATTATGATTAATTGCAGCAGCTGTTAAATGTTATTGATGGTATGGTCATGCAAAAGTAGTTTTTTTTTTATGTTTGTTTTTACAACATCTATGAAATGCTATTTCAAACCTCTCTCTTCAAGTCCACCAGAGGGCAGACGAAGCCCACACATTGTCAGACTCAACCTTTATCCTGAATTTGACTATAAGGCACAGTGATAGATCCAGAGCCATGTATAGTGAGGTGCTCATCCACAGCGATAGTGGCCAATGTATCATATGTTCAGGCTCCAATGTCAGGATACCAAAATAATCAGCATGGGGCCATTTCATTTACTTTATAGACAGTGTAACAGTCCATATATTTATTTACATATCACCTGCGTCACATCACAGGCTGTGAACTTATTTTCCCAAATGCATTAATCATGACGTGAACAACAGAAATGTTTGTCTAGACTCTAGACGTTTTGCCTTTTAACAAATTTCAAATGAATCGTTTGATTATGCACTTGGCTGAGATTTGATCTGCAACACAGTTTATGTCATGATATATTTCTGAGAATTTTTTATCGTATCTATAAACCACTAAGGTAACATGAACGGTTTGATTCACTCGCCCGCTTTTTATGTTTCTTATTCGAAAACGCTTCTGCACTAAGAGCATGCGTAATGCAGCGAGTGTAGTTTGACAGGCATTTGGTCTCCCAGCGGTGAGAATTTTTCGATCGATAGCTCCCTCTAGCACTGCTCCATCTCCAGACTCGCCGTTTTTTCCATTCGGTCAGTACACCTGACGATGCCACTAATTGAAGAGTCAGCATGTCAAATTATCAGTCTGCTAACGAAATTGATACATTTGTAATTATGATCTTTTATCTAAATATTAATGAAACTTCCCTCGTAGAATAAACCTGAAATATAGAAGTTTAATTGTTTCAGAAGTTCTACCCAAAGTGGGAAGCAGATTTTGTTCATATAACCTGCATATGAGATTTTTCATACATGATAAACGAACGAAGGTCACTTTTAGGTTATTAAAAAGTTACACAAATTACATTTATGGAGTTAAGAGTAAAAGTATTTGCAAATGATTTTTAACTGTTAACATATAATACCATAATGATAATCAGTGTGAGAAAATTATTATTATTGTGCAGTAATAAAAATAAGTTTTATCTTCTAATAATGTGATAATATACACTAAATATGGCCGAAATAAATGAAATGGGGTGGTGTTAAGAAAAATATATCCACGGAATTTTTGTTGCACCGATATTAAAAGATTATTGTATAATTATTTTTTTTACGTTCTATATACTTGAATATACTATATTGAATATGCTCTCTATATTCAACGCCCACTCTCATTATTGCAGTCGAAATATCCAGTGGATTTGCATGCCCTCCAAACTGGGAGAAAATACTAGTTCAAAGGAGAGACAGGGGAGGGGTGGTGGCCGCATAGGCGACTGCAAAAGATGGAGTGTGTTCATCTTTTATCTGTTATTCTTCGTGAAACAACACATGTCATCCAAGGGTCCCACAGTCAAAGAGGAGCGCTCCCTAGACGCTCATCGGCAGCTGTTTCTGTGTGTTGTGTAAGGCCCGTTGCTTCCATGGCGTGGACCAGCCCCACTATGCCGTTTTACACGAGACTTGGCCCATATGCACAAAGTTGCGTGGTATTGATTCCAGATTCCAGACTGGAACGTTTGCACAATATACGCTGACAGAATGTAAATAGCTAAGATTGTGAGGTTGAGGGGCGCGTGCGTGCGTGCGTGTGTGTGTGTGTGTGTGTGTGTGTGTGTTTGTGTGTGTGTGTAAGTTGGAATGACCGAGTCAGTTTATGGTGGTGAATGGTGTCAGTGTCACACATGAAGGCAAAGGTTCAAGAGGTCTGAAATGAGATTAGGATCTTGTACGTGTCCTTTAATGATATTGAATTATTACATTGATACAGATATTCGCTGTGAAAATTTCAGATGAGGTTAATGTGCATACAGCAAAAACTAAACATTTCATATTAGTAAATACTTCTTGTACAGAAAATATTGCAATAATATTACACACTGAACACATTTTTATTATTATAAAACATTAAAAAATAAGATAAAGGGTTATAGAGATTGAAAGATTTAACGAAATTTTTGTCCATCTATACAAGGAAACAAACCCATACAATCTGAAATTGTTCTAAATTCAATAGCCCTACACTATTTTTTATTTGCAATGAAATGTAGCCTAACTATAAGCCTTGATAATACTTGAAGAACACGATGTATATTGCTTAAAATCAGAAGAACGGACTTAACAGATCTAACAAAACACCATAAGGTGTTTGGGCCATTAGAGGCTGCTGAGGTGATCTAACATCCTGTAAAGTTTAGAGCCCTCTTGTCTTTCACTTTCTCTCGTTTAACAAAGGACCAAAGGAGGATGTAGCCTAGTTCGTAAGTGTCTTTTCGTTGATTGAATGACGTAGTTTAAAAGGTTAAACAAACTGTCTAATTGTCAAATTGATTATAAAGAATAGCTTTAAAAGTTAGTTTTTAAAGCTGCGTAAAATTGCATTATTGTTTCTTACTGTATTAGGAAATAGAATGGCTATAAATTAGATTTAGTGTCAGCGAAGAAGAAATGAACTCTTCGCATTAAAGTTCTCGTCATAGACAAGTGAACGTATGATCTTATACAGCAAAATACGTCATTATTTTATGGCATAGCCTACTTCATGAAGGTTTCAGGAAACATTCTATAAGTTGTCTTGATAGTTACATGTCAGATACAATAAAAAAGGTAAATCATATTATGTTTGCGCTGTTATTCGATATAAAATTAATAAAGAAAAAAGTAGCAATGCATATACCAGAGTAAGCATCCTTTTCTTTTTAAGAAATAAACGCAACCACACACAGTTACACAACAGTTTTCACAGCATGACGTGTCCTGAATATCTTAAAGTAGGCTATTGACACATCTACCTACGCATAAACAATTCGTAAATTATCAGATATGTACCTTATCAAATGCTTCTCTCGTTCCGCGGATCCACCAGGATGGACGAATATCGGAAAATGACGAGATAAATTAAAAATACAATTTAGGAAGACTTTCGAATACCAAGTTCTGTTTTCTGACTCTCCGCATTAACTAAGATATGACAGTTTCTGGGATTTTTGACAATTGGTGTCTTCTGTTCCCTATAAATAGCGCGGAGTGTGCCGGTAAAGCGGCGAGGGGATAGCTAATGGTTACTTGAACGGAAAGCCGCTGATTGGCCTCGGCCCGGAGTGACGTCAGGAGACTGTGAATAAGGCTGGCTCGTGTGCTTTCAGGAACATGCAGAACACCGGAGGCTGTTCGGGGATCGTCATCAGTCCTGCAACGAGATGTCACGCGCATTCTGTTCACACTAGCATCTTTCGCCTCTTCTGTCTTACCGAGGAAACAGCACACGTTACTGAGGGAGACGCACTTTTCAAAGCGTTTGGCCATTGCATCTTTCAGAGGGACGTACACAGTGGATACGTGGACTTGGTAAAGTGCTCTGGGCTCGCATGTCTCGTGTGCCAGTTCCGTCCAAGACCGGTTGCATTAGATGTTTGTTTATGAAAGACTTTAATGCACATCGTCATCAATGCTTCACCTTGTTTTTGACAACGGCGATGTGCTTTTTCCGCAATGATGTCCTTGTCTTTGTAGCCAACGAGCAGTTGGTCTTTTGAAAGAGTTCTCTATGCTGGCTTCATTTATGCATCACAACATTTGGCAAGGAAGAGGATGAGAAATAATGACTGACAACTGAAGCACTACCTCATGAGAAGATCCTCTTTTATCATCTTGATTTTGGACCGCTACAGGTCCATACACAGAAGTGGTGAATATAATTAAAACTTCTTGATCTTTTCCTTTCGAACCTGTTCGCAAAGACTGACTTGGAGCATCCTTCAGCGTTACAACACTTTCCCTTCTCTCTTTGGAAAGAGAGAAAACAGGAGCAGACTCTCGGGTTGTGGACACCACGGCAGTAACTGTGGGAGCACATCCAAAGACAATGGTCCACTGTGCGGGCTGCGAGAGGCCTATATTGGACAGGTTTCTCCTTAATGTTCTGGACAGAGCATGGCACATCAAGTGCGTACACTGCTGCGAGTGCAAATGTAACCTAACAGAGAAATGCTTCTCTCGAGAAGGAAAACTGTATTGCAAAAACGACTTCTTTAGGTAAGCTCCTTGTGTGAATTCGACTCATAAATATTACGTTTTTCTGCTGTGCATCTATTACTGTGATAGACGGAAATATAATAGTTTATAGTACATAGTATGTGCTTCAGAGACACGGGTATAATTGTCTACAAGAACAATAAAATAAGTTGGCAATATTTTTAAACATCAACATACAGATATAACCGGTTGTTTTGCGGCTATGAATAGATTAAATATTATTTAATATTTTGTGTAATTTACCGTTCATAGGTTATATATAATTTCAAAATGACAGTTAATTTTCAAAAGAGGTTTCACTTATTTGAGAAGTAGCTTAAAACATCAACATGCCTCAAATCACCCATTTCTCAAACACTCAAAAATATTTACAGTGCTACTTAAATTTAGTGAATTTTCTTAAACTTAAACTTAAGTTCAAAATGCTGTTAAAGCTTTACAAATCGCATATATGTATGCAATTTTGCATGATTTCATTAGAATTTAGGACTTAAATTCACACTAACATGAAGTGTGATCCTAAGTACTGTCAACACGACCGACTTGTTTGATTCTTTGATTAGGACGCCCATTAATTAAATGCTTGTTAATTTGAACTGTTATGCAAAATGACGAGCAGATACACTAATAGTCTGTGTACTCGTCCGCAGCAAGGGTTTTGAAGGAAATCACACTTTGTTTACAACGAATGGCAGCCAGGGAAGCCGCAGGGATCAATGCTTTGCCAGGGTAGTTGAAAGTGTAACGCGGCCCAGTGGCAGGCTGCGCGTGTGTCTGCAGTGGTTCGAGCTAAGATGTGATAAGTGGATTTGAATAATAAACGACTTTGAGATGGAAACCCTCAGACAATGTAATCACAGACTCAGAATCAACAATCTGTACAGAGAATCACAATACACATTATTGGTCACAATTAAGTGGTGGGTATTTACTGCAGTGGTGTTTGTATTGGAAGAATGTACATGTCCTTTTGTTACGGGGGATTATTAATTATGCTTTAATGCACATTAAAATACATGCAAAGTATGTTTAAAATACATACATATTATAAAATATTAAAATACATGCAATTTTATTTAGGCCTACAACAGAAAAAAAAATTGTACTAATACATACCTAAATTTTATTTCAATTTTCGTTAACAGTGCATAATCCATGACAATAGAACAAATAACAATTGTGCTAAATATTATTCAAAAAATTACAGTGATGATAATATTAAACATTTACGAACACTCATTTTATATACACTCAAATATAAACGATGCTATTCCATTAATTTGGTCTGGTTTGGAGCTTTAGATTTTTATCTGATGTGTTAACGTGTTATAGTGACCTTTTTTTTCTTGGTCTGTTCATTTGCAGGCGCTTTGGAACAAAATGCGCAGGTTGTGCTCAGGGGATCTCGCCGAATGACTTGGTCCGGAAGGCACGGAGCAAAGTGTTTCATCTGAACTGCTTCACATGCATGATGTGTAACAAGCAACTATCCACGGGGGAGGAATTGTACATCATAGACGAAAATAAATTTGTCTGTAAAGACGATTATTTAAGCAGCACGAACGGAAAAGACACCAACCTCCTTTCAGGTGAGTAAAATGAATGGAATGATACGAGAACTGAAAAAGAAAAAATATTTTGCACACTGCACGCGCCCATTGTTTTGCCCATATTATCTCGCTTTATCAATAATGCTTAATACACTCGATACGATTAATAAGGTCTTTTGATCTAAAAAAAAAAAAAGAAACATGAAAATATTTGACTAATATAAACTGTGCTGTCTTGAAGTCCTTTATTCAACATAATGTCTCACAAAAACATAATTTTTTGTTCTTAAAAACTAAAAGAAATCTTCAGACGGTGTCATGCATAATACATTTTGAAAAGCATTTCATTTTTTATTCCAAATTCCGTGTGAAATGAAATACAGATTTTGCTGCATTCATTTTGTGGCCTATTGCTAGCCAGTTTATTTTCTAATAATCTTTTTCACTGCTGTAGACTAGTGCATTACAGTTCCGTCAACTCTAAATACCAGTGTTTCTTTGTTCTTTCTTTGTTTATTCCTTTCTTTTGTTTTATTAAATCTTGTGTTTCTTTCTTTTTATTTTTTCTTTGTGTTTATTTATTTATTTTACATTCCATTGTTTAGTGTCTAACACTTCTCTGGTCCCCATGTCTAAATCGGAGGTTTTTATTTCGACCCCCTATTTCCGACGGCCCTTCTTTCCCCCATTCAGTTACAGCTTGCAGTGATCCTAGTTTATCGCCAGATTCGCAAGACCAGCTACAGGACGATGTTAAGGATGCGGAAATCGCAAACTCATCGGACAAAGAAACGGGTAACAATGAAAACGATGACCAGAACCTCGGAGGCAAACGGAGAGGACCGCGTACCACTATTAAAGCAAAGCAACTGGAGACACTGAAAGCGGCGTTCGCGGCGACCCCCAAACCAACCAGACACATCAGGGAGCAACTGGCGCAGGAAACGGGTCTCAACATGCGAGTTATTCAGGTAAACCTACACATTATTACAGAGAAAAATGCATGTAAATATACATAATTACACCAATACTAACAAACTGTATTTACTGGTAACTTACTGTATTAATTTTCTATTCTACACTACAGGTTGTCGTGGACACTTGACAAAAACACGAAGTGTATTTTTAAAACAAAACTATTTTTGTTGAATGTTTGTTTTTACACAGTTATAATGTTATAGTGTAATAATAAGTTATTGAGCTGTCAAATGAAATTTAGAAAATATTAGGAGACAAAGAATGTAAATAATTTGCTTGATGTTAAGCTACTTTTAATCAATGTCAGTTTTAAAAGCTTAAATTCCCACCGTCTAATTTTGTAGCAGATTATCTTATTTAAGAATAATACTACTAATAATTAAAATCTTATATTAATGGTGAAGTAAGCCAAGGCAAAAAGGTTCAATTTGATGTAGCCAACCAAAAGTAAAACCAAGCTTTTGCATTAGTGGATACAAGATTGTCCCATGTATTAAAAAAAAAAAAAAAAAACCTTTTAAATATTTACACTAATACTAACAAACTGTATTTACTGGTAACCTATAATTGCTACGTTTGCTGCTAGTAAATTTGAGGACAAAAAGAGATAGGCCTATAACGAGAATTTATATAGTGTGTGATTCTTAGACATCTTGTGGTACAAATTTCTCTTCCTGGATGAGATAGAAAAAAAGCAGACATGCGCCTTCATTGTGCCTCTTCTTTCCAATCCTTGAGGCAAGACTATTTGAATAGAAATGAGGACACTTTTTTGCTGGCACCTGTAAATATTTGGAAGTAGCATTTATATGGTTAGCCTTTTTATACTTGACTTGAGAGATGGAGAGGCACGCCAGCTGGCATCAGACTGGTGAGAACGATGGGAGTCTTGGCAATGCAGCGCCATCACGTTTTGCGACCACATTTAGACATGCTGTGACGGTTCTCAGTCAAGTGGAAACGCAGAAATCTGTCCCTGTGTCTGTCAAAGTACCTCATACTAGGTGGTTTTCTACGAGAAATTGAGAATCGATCCTTGCTTTTTTTGTCGAGTGAACGGCAGAACAGTGAGAGTCCACACTGGCGAATGTGCGCCCTCATTTACGCACGCTACATGGGATTTGTCAGCATCGTTTTAAAGAGCCTCATCTTGGTCTTTTTTTCGGCGTGAGAGATCCGATAAGAACACAGATAAAGCATCATCAACATTAAAAGCCTCGTAATAGATTGGTGCTGTGGGGATAAAGTCTTAAAATGAGACTGAAGTAAGATCAAGTGCAGTGAAGGGGTTGAGATTAATACAGTGGCGAGGTTGGATATTTAAGACCGTCAGAATAAACTATAATTAGCAAAAGGAATTCAAGGGTGGATATATAGATTACGAAATAATAACTGCACAGAGCCGGTTAATATATCGGTAACCACCCTCCTATTAAGTATTAATTAGAGATGTGAAGTCCCCGCTGCTGCCCCCTCAGTCGGAGTAAATGGAGGGTTAAAAGATCATTAAAGTGAGGTTAGATCCGACTCTCTAACGGTGACGATAATTACGAGTAATCTTGTCACTACAGTACGAATGTGTTCAGTCACTTCACAGGCCTACCTCAGTAGAATGTGAAGACACTGGTCTGAACCAATAAAAAATGGTAAACTTGACATGTAAACATTAGGCCATAGTGTCAAACTGTTAGGTTTCCAGGTAGGCTATTTTAATTTAATGCACCACTCTTATCTTATTTTTCCATTGCACTCACTGTAAAATACTAATAATATAATAAAATACAAAGTGCAATTGCTGCCTTAAATGTTCAAGTCAAAATGGTGTCAAATGCCATTTGCATTTCTGACCACTTTGAATTACTAATAAAATAAATCTGATTTGACTCTCTCAAAGCTGTAAAATCAAGTAGAAATTGCAGAACTGATTGTGACAAATGAAATTGGTGGAAATACAATTCTGACACCATTTACACAGTGCAGAAAATGTATCGGTCTCATGCACAAATAGGTTAATAAGACTTAAATGTTTTTATTTTGTTAGCTGATAATGCGCTTTTTGTTTTTTTCTTCACAGTTTATGTTTGTCCATGTTACTGTGTGTTTATATAACTAAGCACAGAGTCGCACTAATAAACTAATACTTATGTAATTATTTCGTGAAGCTGCATACAAACAATGCACACTGATATTGTTTTTACCATTGTAATTGATTGTTGTGACGTGCTCCACTATCACTCTGACACTGTTCTGTAAAGTGTTACCGATTTTAGCACACAATTTTGATAAGCTGTTAATAGATTTCCGTTGCTATTTGTCCATGTGCACTAAGGTATGGTTTCAGAACCGGCGGTCCAAAGAGCGGCGCATGAAACAGCTGAGCGCGCTCGGCGCGAGGAGACACGCGTTCTTCCGGAGTCCGAGAAGAATGCGAACGCTCGTGGACAGACTCGAGCCTGGAGAATTAATTCCAAACGGCCCGTTTTCATACTATGGAGGTAAGATATAATGGCGTATTGGAGACTTATCTATCTCAAACATTTGTCTGAAATAGGCCTATGTATTTCTTTCTCGCGCTGGTTTCATTCGTTACGCATCAGAAGTGAAAATGGTTGAGTTACGCGACGAATACACGTTCAAGATGTTTTTTTTAATTCGTTTGGGTTTTGTTTTAAATATTTAAATGGTCTGCAAATATAAATTTTGGTTTTGTAATTAGACTGGGCTTCCAAATTAAAATTAGTAATCTACTGGCAATTTTTTCATGTTATCCGTGTGTTTGATGCTTTAATGTTTTGATATCGTCAAACAATTGATTGATGTTGTGTTGCTCTTTGAAGAACTTTTGAGAGCTGCTTAGCCATTTCATCTATTCTATTTACTTTATTTTTTTAATCCACAATGGCGTGCATGTTCCGGCATTGTACATGTGTCGACATTGTGTGTTTTATTTCTAGTTTAGTTGTGTTACATAT